CTCTGGGGCGGGGATTCCGCCATCACTGCTTTCACTCCGCTCCTTTCTTTCCAAGCCCACTGCTCCGTTTAGCCTCTCGTTATATTTACTTCTCGTTACAGCACCACCTCTTTGACCCCCAAGTGGGCAAAACCAAACTAGCACTCCACCTGCTTCCCAGACTCACTCTTCTGGGACACCCTAATTGTAAACCCAGAGCAGTACTCATAGGACACCAGGAAACCCGACCAAAGTGTCAGATGCTCCTTGCTCGGCAGAGTCCGAGCGCTTCAGGCCTCTGGAAGCCCCCGTCCTCGTCTCTCCCTGAGGCTGCTCCTCCCTTACACACTCACAGCCACCGTGTGCGTGCCCGCCGTGGGAATGCTCTTCCTGCTGTGCTCTGGCTCCTCAGAGCCTCCCTGTCACCTCTAACTTTCAGTGTGTCCATCTGCAAGGGATAGCAATGCCTCCCCAGTAACTGGTAAAAATTAGATACAGCCAGTGAAGACGACCAGCACAGGGCCTGGCACTTCGTGCATTTGCTGCCCTGCCCCTTCCTTCGTAAGTACTTTAGAAACTGGAATGCATGTAGTACAGCATAACCACATGGTCGTTCGTTCTTCGTCGTATGCCTGTTGCCTAGAGCTCTTGTATTTTGGCAAGAATTTTAGACCCCTACTAAGGAACATGTGAAAATATTCTGGGAGACAAAAACTGTGCAGCTTTGCAACCCCAGTGTGCCAGTGAAATGGGTGCCGCTGGGCTCCGGCTGCCTCTGGAGGCTCATGGTGAGGAGAGGGGCGCATCTGGAGCCCCCGGTTGATCACCTGTCGCAGGCTGAGGCTTGGCTGAGTAGGTCGGTGGCAGCTGTGTCCCAGAGCTCGCCCTCATGGAAGCACAGGCGCTATGTGTGGGAGCTGGAGGGTGCTCAGGAGCCCGGCGGGGAGCCAGCGGCCATTCCCACACAGCCTGCGCCCCCACTGTGCCTCAGAGAGAGCGCTGCCTTCCTGCCAACTGCAACTGCGCAGGTGTGCTTAAGGGCGAGCTCCCAGGTGCAGTTACTGGTTTGCAGGATCGATTCTGTTTCCGCCACATTTGGTTGTCTGTTGTATTTTGTTCTGGGCTCTCTCCTGATGTGATTTCTACTGGGTTTTAATCAGAACCATCTTGTGAAACATTTGGGATTCAGTTTGGAATTTAAAATAAACACTTCTCTCAGAGAACACAGATGAAATCCAGAATGGAACAGAGAGTAAACAAGAAGTAATGTAGTCATATCATAAACAGGACCGTGTCAGAGGGGAGGAAGAGAGGGACTAGGAAAGGCTGTGTAGAAACAGGATCCCCTTGGAGAAGGAGCCAACCCAGACACGGGCGTCGGGGGCCGGCTCGCGCTCCGTCACCGGGGTGGGCTCTTCCATTTCTGCCCAGCCTGTGGTCGAGTGGGGTAGAAACGGTGCTTGCTCAGCTACGCTGGCACGGGCCACTGCCTCAGGGCAGATGCAGCTCACGTTGTTCCCTAGGTGGCCCTTGGAGGCCCTGTCTTCCCTCCCCATCCCCTCTCTCTCCTGTGCCCTTCTTCTTCCCCTTTCCAGAGCTGTCCTGACCCTACTTGTCCTCGTGAACAAGGGCCCAGATGCACACCCAGAGGGTGTAAGAAGACCCGTGTTGGGCCCAGCAGAGATGGCGGGACCCCCCTTCCCATCTGCTCTAGACATTTCAGGCGTGGGTCACAGGATAGAGGACGTTGAGAGAAGTACATCTTCAACCCCACATTGCCAGAGATTCTCTCCAGCTATTTTACTTTATTTGTTGAGGGAACATAAGAACTTTGTATGAGGTTATTTCAGAAAGTTCATGGAAAAAAGGAATTAAAGAATAAGTTTATATTGGTATAAAAATTTTGAAATTTCTGCATAGCTTTTGTTTCATGAGCTTTTTGAAGACCCTGCATATATGTTAAAAGATATTTTCTACAAAGTTTAAAAAAGTATACAGAGGTGCCGGCAGGTGGCATGGTGTTTGAGGCGCTGAACTCCCACGTGGCCGACTGTAGTTCAAGTCTCAGACCTGGTGGCTTGCTTTCTCACCCCCTAGCCCCATCTCTTTGTCTCTGTCTGGTCACATTTAAAAAAATTAATAAATGAAATTAAAGTATACATTAAAGTATCCATTCCTTATCCCTGGACCCTTTACTACTACTTCAGAGGCTACTTGATTTCTTTTTTTTAATTTAATTTAATTTAATTTATTATTATCATCATCATCATTATTGTTATTGTTATAGGACACATGTGCTCACCAGAGAGACAGAGAGAGAGAGATGGAAAGTGAGAAAGCAAGCCACCAGGTCCAGGACTTGAACCGTGATTGGCCTTAGGGAAGTCCAGCACCCCAACCACCATGCCACCTGCCAGCCTCGCGGCT